ACTGTGGAGACGTTGGTGACAAAGTGGCTTAATGTGTCCATATTCATGGTATTTCCACTGAACTACTGGGCTAAATGCACTGTGTATTTCAGTATGATTTATAGTTGTTAATTCCATTACCCATAGATTCCTTTTAGAAAGCCCTCACAGCTAATGAATTTAATGACACAAAGGCCAAAACTTGAATATATATCACTGCGCCAAAAACCATCAATAACTGGGAAACATTAATTTTTACAGCTATGGCTGCTTGCAATGTATTTTACCAATCATAAACTGCTCTTTAATCAAAATGTGTTCACCTCTAAGGTCATCAGAATTTGCTGCCAGGCTACTTGTAACTGCCTGGCTTTTGTAAACCTGAATGACAGGCTTACTCTGTAAGCTCTGCCCTCTCCCGCTCTGTTCGGTGTTTTAGAGCAGTGACTGTACTGTCCCCTGGGAGTTGCCACTGATAGAAGTTACAGCTTGTGGTACTGACTGAACCCGCCACTTTTAAGTAATGGCAGGCATTATGCATTCTCCTGAAAATATCACCCTTAAGCTGGCTGGGAGCTTTCAATCTTCACTTGTGGCCTTTGAAGGCTGTGTGATGTTAATTGTACCAGCAGCTGCTTGATCTGCTAAACAAACCACTGGGAGCCTGAGCTGATTGTTTGGGTTGTTCCCCCAGCCTCCATCGTAACTGGAGTGCTGCTTTGCTTTTCCCTTCACATTTTGTCCTTGACCTCTGTGCCTCAACCGCCAACGAGCCTGTCTGGTGTTGGAACAGGCTGCAGTGATTTGGGAGCAGTCCTGTCTCAACTGGGTGGGTGTTTGAGGGAATCTGATGTCTGTACTGCCTGCGACAAAGGAGGTGGAAATGAGCAAGTAGGATAGTTCGAATTATTCATGTTAATTGACATAAATGTGAGCACTTCACATAAATGGAATAATGTTTTCACGTAAATATTGTCTATAGAGTGCATTAGTATTTAACAGCTATCTGAAATACTGTAGAACAAAGCTCTAATTCAGACAGTTTAGCAGAATAAAAGCATATCAGGAGCTCAAGCTCTTTGCTCCCCTTTGGCAATGTTTATTTTGTATGAGCACACACCAGCATGTTTATGTTGTCAGGTGATTCTGCATGGTAACATTTAAAATTTGCATCTTATTCAGAGTACACAGTGTTGTAACTTGAAGCTCATTTCTGGTTACAAACTGCAGTGCAGAGAGTGGCATCTTATAGTGCAGTGTTTATGTCCAAAATTATTCTACTTCAGCAGTCAGGCTCCCAGGTTAAAACACTGAGTGATGGAATTCATTAAGGAGGAGTAGTGCTGTTGTAGCTTTAATGGTCTACAGATAGAAGTGCCTCTAAGTGAGGCAGAGTTTGTCAGAAAAGGTAATGTCTTTCATTGCACCAGCCGATACAGCTGGAGAAAAAATAGATCACTTTGGGTCCTTCTTTTGGTTTGACTGCATTAACATTTCTATCACAAGAAAAAGCAAAAACACTCCCCTACGCATACCTGAAAACAGAGTGTATCAGTCTTATTTCAGGAATTTTACAAAGTAAAATTGACAAGTTAAGTATACGGTACAAAGACGACAGATGCCAGAATTTTTTGAATCTTGAAAGGCAGAGTATTGTTGAACGCATCCTATCAGTGGAGCTGGAAAGGCTGGCCACGTGACGGCTCTCTGGTGATAAATCACCCCCTTTCCTTCTCTGATGAGTTCTAACCTCCCCTCCTTTGCCTGAAAAATTCTCCCACATCTTCCTGCAGCTGAGTCCAGAAACAGTTTGCAGAGACACTTCTGAGGCACTTCTGGTTTATTTTCAAAATGCTGTGATGTCTCCAGTATTTTTTCACTTTTATTATTCCTCTGATTGACGTTTTCCAGAAATAGAGCCCAGCAGTGTTACCACCCTGATGTGCAACGTTAGTGGTACATTACTGGCAAATACAAAGGTCCTGCTAATAAGAATTCTCTATTAGAAGATTTAAGGCATTGATCCTTAATATCAATGTCATATGCAGGTAATAAAATCTATGTATAGTATTTGATTTGTGAAAATTTTTCTAGTAGACATTAAGTAATCCAGCATTCGTTTGTTAGAAATGGCCCAAAAGTGTAAATTAAAGTAATGGGAAAATCCAAGGCTCATATTAGTCTGCCTAAATAAATGTGGACTCCAGAAGGAATTTTAGCTGAGTTTAGGACTATTTCACAAGGGGTTGTATTGAACAGAACTGAAGAAACGCAAAACCTTTACTTCTGTAAAAGCAACGTTGTTTTAAACAGAGAGCTGCTGGTGATGCTCCCTCCATTCCTTTCTAGTCTGGTGTTCAGAACTTTACATTTTTGTAAAGTTTCTTTGAATTAGGTCCTTTATGAGTGCTTGCAAAATGCGGTCACTCAGGTCTTAAAGTACCAGTTTTGACTGTTAGTGTAAGAACAGAAAAGGAAGTGCTGCACAGCCATCACAAGGAGTCCTTACTGTGCTTGTGGCTTATACACGGAATGCATTTCTTTTTTTGACCATACAGCATTCAATCTAAATGTTATTGTGTTTTTAAAGAGTTGAATTGCCATCAGAGTTCATTTTTAAATTTGGCTAAACTTGGAAATGCTGAAGGAGAAATAAGTTCGTTGGCATGAGAAAATTATTAGAATTCTTGTTTTACCAAATCTCTCCTTATTAAAATGTTTCACAGATTGTGAGTTAGAAGCTGTTGTTTGTGTGTGTAATTGTAAGGGATTCAAGGGAGTTGAACGTATGTGATACTGACAACAGAAAGGAAACGTTTAATGGGACCCATATGAACACACTGGACTGACTGTTAAAAGTCCTTTACGTTTTCTGTTTGACATCATTACATTTTTGTAATGTAGATCTGGCTGTCTTTTGTACTCACTGATGCCGTTCAAAGTGTGTGCCATAAGATCTCTGTTAATTTTGCTTTGAAAGGGAAATGCTGTGTTTTCCGCACAGCCTACATGAGAATACACAGGATTCATTCTACCCTTAGAGTGGCAGTATGATATGAAATTATGTACTTGGCTGTTTGAGGGCACACCTGTACTGATACGTGCAGTGCTCAGAGCCCTCTGATGATCCCCTTACTTGGTCCCTCCCTTCCTCAGGCTGTTCTGGGCCATCCCACATGCTCACCAAGGAAAAGTTGCTGCTGCAGGGGAGAGCTCAAAGCACTTCAAAGCAGTGGACTCAGAGCGCCGTGGGCACGGTCCATAGGCTCTGGTGGGAAGCAGTACTGGTCTCTGGAGGTCCCTGAGTCTCTTTATTTAGTATGTAAACTTTGAGTCCTTATGACCTTTAGTTTATAAGCTTTCATTACAGTATGAACTATTTTGCATAAAACCGTATGGTTGATAGAATTCTTTAGAAGTGTTTGATATTCTATATTTTGAAAGATTTACTGTACAGTAAGGCTGAGGAAAAAAATTATATACAGCAAAACAATTATCTATAGGTAAATTAGCATTAAAGGTACTGGTTAGATACTTTTATATCCTAGTGGTCTGACAAAGTTCATGAAGGAAAGGATTTTGCAACTAAGGTTGGCCAACTAAATATTGAGCTACATCAGAAGGAGCAAGTGTAGAACAGATCATGGAAACACAATGTAAATATATACATCAGTAGAGCCATTTCATACACTTGTTTTTTCATACCTTTTCTCAAAATATGTGACAACAAAAATAAAAGGAATTCAGAGACAGGCAGAAATAATTAGAGGCTTAGTGAAGTCTTTGCTGCATACACAGAAAAAGAATAATTTTAAATTTAGAAAGGAAGGAAAGGGTGTAAGGACTTACACAACATCAGTAAGTATATGAACAGGTAGCAAAGCCAACACTGCAATGGTAGCACCTGGGTTCAATTCTTAGTTTGTCTTCTTAGACCCAGAGTATAAATCTCATTGTAAAATTGAGACTTTTTATTCTGTATTTTCTGGCTTTAGTCTTAAGAGTTCAGATTCTTTGTCTTCCCTGCGCTGGATCTTTTCTAGTTCTTCAGTGCCTATTAATACAGGTTGGGCACAGTGCTCTGGGCACAATCCTTCCGTTCTGATAGTGTCAGACACATCTTCCTTCATGATGCAGAGTTACCTGTTCCAAGACTGTTTTGGTAAACACCATTATGGTCCTTCTTTCTCTGCTTGAGAAGTTACGGATGGGTTTGTAGCTGAGCAGCAGTATACCCCTGGAACTTTTAGATAAACTAAACCAAGCCCTCTGAACGTATGTTGCTCTTTTGTTCATTAAATAACGGATTGCAAGCTAATTCATACTCAGCTGAGACTCGTCTAGTTAAAGAAACAGAATCCCAGCATACCAATAAATAATTAATTTAGGAACTGATAAAATTAAAATATCCCAAAAGCATTACAGGTTAGATGCAAACCTTTTATGGTTCATTACTTTTTAATATATTCTCTCTGATATACTTCACTTAGTAACAACAGGCTATGGTAGTCTTGTCAGTAAATGATAAAACAGTTCAATTATCCCTTCTTTCTATGTGAATCCAGAAAGTATAGTTAAGTGTACTTCAAAACTGCTAGGAAAATACTTCAGCAACAGGCTGGCTTATTTTCAAAACTATTTTAAATCAGGTGCTAACTAGTTGATAAAGCTACTTCATTTTTGTCATTCTATAAAGCAGTTTAGCTACATATTTATGATTACAAAAGCATTTTAGCCTAACTTAAGGACAAGGAGTTTATGTTAATGCTGCTTTTGTCTGTCTGTGCCTCCAGTAACCTCTGAGCAGAATGGCAGCGTTTGAACATGGCAGAGTAAGGGAAGCGTCTAAGTTAACTGGTTTTCCACTTTCTGAAAAGTAGAGGCCTAGTGAAAAAACAAGGTCTGAATTATTGCATCTCCGGAAGGAAAAAGCAGCAGCAGTAGAACCGGGCAGTGGAAGAGGAGCCGTTGAGGTCTGTGCTCCATAGCTGTAGGATACCAAGCTTCGCTGTACGGCTACCATGGAGCAGTGTGTGTTCAATGGTGATCAAGGGCCATCCAAAAGAATGAGTCAGAACCACAGAAGAAACCTCCATGACAGAAGCAGAACTCAAGTGGAGATCCTTCAAACTAGCAGAATTGCAAGAAAAGCTTTCTTGTCGGTAGCTAGCATCAGTACAGTGGTTTCTCTTTTCAGGTGAGTGCATGGAGTTTGGGAAGTGTCTCAAAATAAAAAAGCTAAAAAAATTAACATCGTTATCGAAGAATGGAAACAAAAACTCTAAGAAAAATAGGCAGGGAAAGAAGTTTAAGTGGAGTTTAATGAGCAGATGGGGTGTGTGCGAGTTAGAATAAAACAAAGCAGCTCCCGTGTGCAGCCGAGCAGCAGCACGTTATGTAGATCTGTTCAGGAAACCTGGAACCCGATAGTGAGGGCCAGGAGCTTCTGGCTTGGACGCTTCCCAGGTGAAAATCTGACTTGGAGCAAGTTATTGTAAATGTAAAGTTTGAGCTGAAATCTCGTGTAATAGTTAGAGTTTTAGCAATGGGATAAAAATTCATAGCTAAGCTAATTTCTGTGTGACTCCCATTTATTTTGAAAGCTTGTTGCCTTTAGACAAATTATCTTGTGTAATACCACTTTTGAGGTATTTAAATTATTTTCCATTAAGTTATTTTACAGTGTCTACTCAGAGTCCTGAAGAACCCTAAGTGTGCATATTTAGGTCTAATTTTGCATTATATCCCGAGCAACATTTTTTGTGGTATGAAAATAAAGTTAATGAGATGTAGACTTGGTTTCAAGCAAAATAAAAATACCTTTGCCAAATTAGGAAGTCTGTAAAAACAGATTAGAGAGTTCAGTAGGCTTGTTCTCAGCACACTGAATTTGCAGTGCTTCAGTGAAGTGAAAGTCTGATGCAGAAGACTTGTCTTTAAATTACCGAAATACTTCAGAATCTGATGTGAGGTTTTCTGCGGTGCCAGCAGCTGGACAAAGGGGTGACAAGTGTGATAATTAAAAAGGAATCCCCCAGGAAATCCGACGTGTTAATGTATTGTGATATGGTGCTCTGGGAGATACAAGGTACTCTACCAACCAGAAATATTATTCGCAAAGCAGAACCACACTATTGCATGGACAGACTACACTGTTTGTCAGATAATTGCATGCTGTTGACAGGAGAGGGACAGTATAGGGGAAGAAAGGAACTAAAAGATGTGTTACCATATAGATTATACAGGGTTGGTTTTTTCCTCCATGTACCTAGAGAAGGAGTCATCTTGGCTGCTCAGCATTTACTGTATAGCTTTTGAAGTACCTTGCAGGGTCCAACTGCGTGTCCTGGCAGAGAGCAGCAATCTTCTCACAGGCCAGTGGCACAACCATTAAAATGACTTGTCATGCAAATTATAGGATGCGTAATAATCCTGCAAATTTTCTGTAAAGTGGATTTAAGATTGATACCACTAAGCGAGGGGGAATGTCATTGATCAAATGTTTGAGGATGCTGGACATCAAATATTATGTCCAAAATTTGGGTAGCATTCAATTCTAAAATAGCAGGATGCAGGATTTACTGAGATTAATTATTATATGAAAGTGCCTTAGCAGATTATTCTAGAGCTCTGGACTGTTGACTGCAGTGATTTAATTTACCGAGGTCTCCAATTTTCTAATATGCTTAGAAATGCTTTTCTGCTATATATGCAAACCAACGTTACAGCGTAAACCTTAATGCAACTGTAAGAATGCTGCCTTGATAAAAGATCAATGAAATTAAAAGGATTAAGCCTGGGCCAAATCTGTGACAGCTTTGCTTACCACAGCATGGAAGAGCTTATGTGGAGTACTAAACAACCTTGTTTCTCCAGCTGGGGTAAATCGTGGCTGTCACTGAGGAAAACAGTGGGTTATTTTCCACCAGCCATTCCAAGAAGAGAAGGGCCATGCTTTCATCTCTCACCTTGAAGACACATCGTGTCATAATTTAAAGAAAGCGTGTGCTGTAAATGGATGGCAACTACGGTTCCTTGCAGGAAATTTTTGCAGGTTCATCAGAGCTCCGCTGCAGCTGGTTTTGTGCAAATTTAACTGGACATCTGCTAAGGTAAAAGGGAGAGTGAGGGTGAGCGTAGAAATGGGACAAAGCCGTGTTAGACGCTGAGGTAAATCAGGTGGAAGAGTTTCAGGTTAACAGCTTCACAGTCCACCCAATCCGGCAGCAGTTTTTATCAGCATCTTCTTTGTAAAGTATTTGTTGTTGTTCTTTTAAAAAGGAATTTCTTGCCTCAGTTCTCCATAGCTGTGTTTCTTGCTGTACTGAGAGGCTTTTGAGACTCTTGTGGAAAGTAGAGAAAATAAGGTTTTATTGTCCCTTCAAAGTACTGTTACACTGTGCTTGTATCTTCATTGTCGTTTGCAGGAGGCTTCAAGCTCACTGGCACAGGCTGAGCCACCCTAAAGCCGCACAGCAGTGCGAGCACAGGGCAGCACCCGTGCAGCTGCAGCGTCCCCCTCGGGTGCTCAGGGGCAGCGCTGAGGGTCCCGTAGAGCAGAAAGGCCTTGGGTACCCACCATGCATGTCCTTCACTCCATCTGCTTCGCAGCCTGGTGCGGTCCTTGTCAGCTCATCTGCCTCTAGCCACTGCTAAACCTTTTCTCTGCGTGTCTGGGTCATTGGTGCTTCAGGTGGTCTTGGAGAGGGTCTTTTTCCAGGTGTCGTTTAACAAATGCAGTAACAGATTGGCAGAAATTTGTTAACCTTGTTTTGTGAAAGATGTTTGTTGGGTGGTAAGGATTATTCGATCATTTTCTCTCTTGATTTGAAGTGCAAGACTAATTCTTATACTGTGTCTATTTCTTTCAGGCGTTCTTGAATGAGATTTACACCTCATGAAATCAGTTGGTATCTGTGCTGCAATTCAATGTCAACTTGATTTATTTGTTCTTTACCCTCCTCCCCCAAAAAATCCTATGACAAATAAAGTGAATGTTATATCTTCTTCTTTTTTTTCCCTTTTGTTCTGTTTTGTTTTCTGTTGAACTACTGCAGTACAGTGCTGGAGGCTGTGTGTCTGTGACTGATATCCTCCATTTCAGTAGAATGTTACATCTTAAATTATTTCGTGTCTTGCAACATTTTACAAGCAACTGGATTAACAACGTGATAAAGCACGATGCTTTAATCCCAAGAAATACTATGCCATGCTCTTCTGATCTTTTTAAAATAGTAATGTTTTGTGGGTTTCTTTGCCTTTTCCGTGTTGTTTCAGATATGCCAGGTAGCCCACACAACCAGTTCACCTTCAGACCCCTCCCGCCGCCGCCTCCACCTCCGCACGCGTGCACCTGCGCCAGAAAGCCCCCTCCGGCAGCCGATTCTCTCCAGAGGAGGTCGATGACCACTCGCAGCCAGCCCAGCCCCGCTGCCCCAACTCCCCCCACCAGCACGCAAGACTCGGTGCATCTCCATAACAGCTGGGTCTTGAACAGCAACATACCGCTGGAAACCAGGTACGGACCAACCTGGTGTAGCCAACATACCTCGTATGATTTAGGAAAAAAATGGGGAGGGGGCCTGACGTTGACATGAGGAGGTGATGGGGAATTGCACGTTTGTCATTCAGCATGTGTCAGTGCATTTCAGTTTGATGTCGTGTTGTGTAGCCGTGTGAGGCCTTGTTTACTTGGTTCATCTAGGTCATTAATGCTGAGAAAAGCACGTGTTTTGCAAAGTTTTGGAAGACATTGATTTCCTTGTGGCATGTAGATTCCATAGGTATTTTAGAGTTGTGTGCAGTCAGCATTTGTGCTCGTGTACTTGTCTTGCCCTCCCACGTTCTCCCAGGGCCATTTTGTAGTCAGCAAATAGAAGTTTTGTTTAATTGGTGTACTCTGGCACTTCTGGAGTGAGTCAGTGTTCAGGCTGTAGCTTTCCTGTGGATAAGAAAAGATAGGTAATAATACTAACATAATATTTTCCTCAGCCTATATTTAAACACTTTATAGCATATATTAACAAATAATATAATTTGATAATCATTTGGTAACGGAGAAAAGATACAGGCCCAAGACAGGTATTGAGCATGGAGAGCCTCCCTCTGGGAGCTGGGGAAGGGAGGGTTCGACTCCAGGATCAATCACAATTTACACAAATAGTCTACTCTGAAAAATAATTGAAAGCAAATACATTCAGCACACCTGTGTCTCAGTCCCCAAAGTTCTGCCACAGAGGCAAATGCACAGTTTCCTCTGACTTTTTAGCTATAATCAGCTTTTTTCTTGTTCCTGATAACCATTAGCTAATTCGATGGCTTTCAACTACAGCTGTGTTTGCTGACATGACACTTAAAACAAGCCCTCCTTTTTCCACAGCCTTCTTTACTGTGAAGAGAGCACCGAGAAGTTGTGACTGGGGTTTCTTTTGGGGTTTGGCATTTTAAAACATGTAAGGACATGACTCTGAAGGTTGTGTTTGGTGAATCAGGTGAACGTCTGACATCCCACTAATCTGAGCGTGTAAAGTATTATGCATAAAAATGTTCACATGTCCAAGGGCCAGTTATCCCAATTAATCACTGAAACCTACGTTTTGTTCTTTTGCAAGAAGAGTGCTTTTATTTCATTACAAAACGTAATTTTACTATACATCTTCAAACACTCAACTGCAGCTAATCAGAAGTCTCAAATTACATTTCTCTTCTCTGAAAGGCCGTTAAATTGGGATTGCAGAATGAGCTGATTCATTCTGAAATGAAACTTTCCTTATTTGTCTTAAGGACAAATCACAAAAAGAATCAAGGGGGATGGAAACTTTTCTCCAAAAGTGAACATGAACAGAATTTTAGTTCAGCTGTTCCTTCCAGAGCTAGAAGCTTCTGTTGACACAGTCTTTACCAAGATAAATCTCTGTCATTTCTGGTGTAACAAGCTTATATGTCTGTACTTTCTGCTGCGTATAAGGCTGATCCCTGGGCGTTCTGTACCCATTAAGTACCTTTCAGTTCTCTTCAATTAACAGGCAGATCTTGCTTAGCCTTGCTGCATCCCTGTTGACTGTATTCTCATCAGATCTCGTTGGGGAAAATACTCTGCAATTTCAGGTTTCTTTGGAGTTCGGTTTAATTTTTATGGTTTCTTCTTATTTTTGCAAATCTGAAACTTCTCAAAAGGGACAAAGACATAGATATATGGTTATATCCATAGTTAAATAAATGGATGCTGATGAAAGGGCTGTGCAGTGGATTAGGAATTCAGACCGGAAAATAAACTGTGGGCTACGCATTAGCGATTCACAAAGTCTGGGAATTTTCCACATTCCTGCCCTTCAGTGGTTGTTTCAGCTGATTTTGTGCACCCTCCGGTAGCAGCTTCTCCTGAAGCTGCCTGAAAGGCCATATAATCTGAAAGCAGAATCTGTGAGACTGTTTGCCAAGATGTATCTGCAGTTTGTGTGCAGACAAGTGATATAGAAGGGGTACATAGCAATAAAAATCATCTGTGAGCGCCACTTCTCAGAAGTCCATAGTACACAACATGGCCTTCAAGACAAAGAAGGGCTTGCAGCTTGTTTATTCTTCCTGTAACAGGGAATGATTCAGCTGGAATTGAACAGATACTTTAGCCTAGTATCTGAATTCTCTTGTTTTCCTTCTCCATTAATTTTTAGCTGCCCATTAAAAATAATCCTACAAAATAAAGGGAAACATGTCAATGGCAGCTGTGTTTCTACGCTAAATCTTTAATAGTACCAAATCTACCTAATTTGTACATTTTTAATTGGAACATTTGCAATGAAAAAGAAGCCTGAGACAGTAATGTATTCCCTACTGTAATAACTAAGCAAAAAGTGGAATGCATGTGTTCAGCCTCTCTTCCAATCGTATCTGCTGTTAATCCCTAAGCAGCACATGTGTTCGCGTGCTTTAGCTACAACCATGCAATGTCAGAGAGTTTTCAGACTAGGAAAAGGTTTCCTAGAACTAATGGTGTGACTGTAAACCCTGTTCACTCTGGACAGTCAGAAATGAAGCAGGTTTATGAGTCTGCTCATAATGATGTGTCCTATTTATGTAAAAGAACATTCTGAAGATGTTTGCAATACTCTGATTAAACATGCAATTAGAATTGTAAACCCTAGATTAGACTGCGAAGGGCTGCAGTAAAGACACATACTGAGGTGTATGTTCTGAACATTTCTTTTCGTAGAGTAAAGCTTTGTTGTATTTTTAAAGAAAAGGCCAAATCAGAAATTCCGTTTTACACTTCATCTGTAGGTGTTACACGCACAGACTGACCTGCCAAACAGGAACCAGCTTACTAGCCCAACTGTTTAATGAGAGAGCTCACTTGGAAAGGTGAAATTACTTGTTCAAGTTCACACAAGCTTTTGGCAAAGCCAAAAATAGAGGCGAGATGTGTGACATCAGTTCTCTGGCCTTGGCAATGGCATACATCTAGACTCTGTTTTTCTCTGGCAGTTATTCCGATTATAAGCAACCCAAGTGTAAATAAGAATGAGGAACACCTTTAAAACTTCAGAGGACATGTCGTAGAGCAGCTGGTGGTGAAGAAATTGGAGAAGAGCTGTACCTGTTGGAGGTACCTGCCACCCAACTGTGCTGCAGGAAACATCGATTCTCTTTTTGAGGATAATTTTATTGGGCTCTTACATAAATTGATTTTTTCTTCTCCCCCAGCATAAAGTACTTGCAACCTATTGCTTATTCCTTTCCACTAAAAGAGTTGTTTTTTCAGGTTTCATAAATATTTTGCTCGAATGTTTCAAATCTTGTGATTTACAGCGTAACACATTGTCATTATCTCTGACAGCCCCATCTGAGCATAGGTTACTACCTTTTATGGAGCGTGTATTAAACACTGACAGTTCAAAGGAGCGTTCTTCATTTTCTCCATGCCCTGTTAGTTGGCTCGGTATTTGTTTCCGTATCTTACTTTGTTATGTTTGGGTTTTTTTCCGGTGTTTGCTATTTATTTTCGCACTTCAGTCAGATTCCCAAACACAGATGTTACGTAGGGATTTTTACCTGACATTATTTCTGATCCTCCGTATAGTCTGTTACAGTTCTCTCATGGATAAACCATTGGACATACTTATTTTGAGTAAAGTTTTGCATTTAGATTACTCAAGCATTAGAATTTTTCAGTTTTCTGTTTAAAAAGCAAAACTTACCTCCCTTTGATTTAGTTCTGAAGTGGTGTTTTGGGGTCTTTTAGTCCTGTTTTGAGCTTCAATATTTTACATATTTGCTTGTTCCTTCCTTTTTTTAAATCAGATTTCTGTCTAGTTCCTCTAACCCATTTAGCAGTGTTGGCAGTGAGGTTAGTGCTGTGCTGAATGGACTGAAATCTCCCTTCACTGCACTGGCAATGAGCCAAGCACTGTGGAAAAAGACAGCTTAATTTAAGCAATCTTATCACCATGGCAATAGCTCCTCTAAGGGGACAGTGAGGTACCAGACCATGAACCTGAGATTCAATTATCGTTAATTTATATAAACTTTGAAGCACTGGAATAATAAGACAAGCATTTGGGGTTCAAGGCAGTTATGATTTTTAGTTGCTACTCAGCAATATTTCAGACTCCTAAAGTTTGATTAGGGCTCTAGACACAAAAACTTTGAGAGTTTTGTTCTTTCTGCTTGGTCTCTTCATTTGAGCATCTTGTGAATCCTGCCCCTGGTGCAGAGATACAGACAGCACTTTTGCGCCTTCCTTTTTCCCAGTTGAAGGTTTCCATAGCAAACAGGACCGCTTTTACAGCTCCAAAGGGACACAGGTGTTGATGGCCATAAAGCACCAGGCAGGGAGACAATTACTATTTGAGCGATGCGATTCATTAGGAACTTGTTTGCGACTGGAGCTTTTTCCTGACTTAAATAACCAGACTTGTGGTTATTCCAAGAGTAAATGCAGGGAGGAGCTTCATTTAGAATCTTTCCTTCAAATCATGTTGGTCAGTATTTGCTGTTACGCCGTTTCACTTGTGTTTTGTCATTATCTACCTAATTAAACAATAAATCTAACCTGTAGGGAGGCTGACCATATTAAAACCAGACACATGGCAAGGGTTTTAAATTCATTCCAAGTCCCGTGTGTTTTCACTGCACAGAAGAAAAGATCCTAAAACTATTTAAGACTTCTAAATTGTAAAAGATAAATTGAAAGCTGTAAATATGACTAAGAACCTAAAATAAAAGCTGTAAATATGGCACTAAATTTAATAATGCACGAACGAAAGCGTCTTTTATAGAAGCATTTGTCGGCTACAATGACGTATAATATTCATGTTAACAGCAATGGCACTTGAGGGCCCTTCTTCTGAATAGGTTGAGATCCAGTCAGTAAAGGCAATAAGAAGGTTTAAGTTGTTCATATACTCTATTTTTTTTCTTTGGGAAAAGCTCTGGTGTGGCCTTTTCTTGAACAGTGTTTGTGTGTAAGGGTTTGGGGGTTATTTGCAGGCTTGATACAGTGACTTGAACAATCGTGAT